TACTGCTTTTATTTCCTTCGGTGATGTATACAGAGTGGGACTGCTGCACTGTAGGGTGGGTTTACATTTTCTTATTTTTAAATAGCCTCCCTCCTGGTTTTCATAATGACTACTGAATTGTTTTTCTTTACATTCTTGTCAACATTGTTATTAGGCTGGTGAAAAGTTAAGTGTTTTTTTTTACCATTTAAAAGGCAAAAACCACAATTACTCTTGGAAAGACCTGATATATGACTCATTTTTGATACTTGCCATTCTGATATCAAAGAGTTTGATTGTAAGTTGTCTTAGGTATGCAGAAGCCTTTTAGTTTAATGCACTCCAGCTTGTTTATTATATTTACTTTTGTTTCTGTACTTTTGGTGTCACACATAAACCACTGCCAAGACCAGTATCAAAGAGGTTTTCTCTTAGAGTTTTTAAGGATACATGTTTTACATTTAAGTCTTTATTTCAAGCTAATTTTTGAGTATGGGGTAAGAAAAATGACTTAGTTCACTGTTTTGACTGTGGGTATTTCGTTTCCCCAGAACCAAGTGTGGAGGAGACTGTACTGTCTGCATTGTGGTTCTTGTCGCACTTGTGAAAGATGAGTTGAGCTGATATGCAGGAGTTTAATTCTGGGCTCTCCGTTCTGTTCCATTGGTCTCTGTGTCAGTTTTCTTCTTCTCTGTTCACATACCATCCTGTTCTTACAACTGTAGTCGTACAATGTAGTTTGAACTCAGAAAATATTATGCCCCTCGCCTTGTTCTTTTTCCTACAGATTGCTTTGGCTATGCCAAGTTTATTGTGATTCCATATACATTTTTGAATTACATTTTCTATTACTGTGAAAAAGTCCCTTGGACTTTTGATAATTTTCAGTGGATCTATAGTCTTGGTCTTTAGCAGAATTTTACGACCCCCTCCTTGGATTCCAAAGCTCCATTACAGGCGTTTTTTTGAGATGAGGTTTCTCTGTATCACCCAGGCGGGTTCTGAACTTCTGGCCTGATGTGAGCCTCTCCCCACCCCGAGGTCCTGAGTAGTTGGGATTATAGGCATGAGCTGTGGAGCCTGGCTTTCTGGGAAAGGCATTTCCAGCCATAGCAGACGGACACATTTTTGTTGCTGTTGGGGGTTAATATAAGCCTGGGTTCAGCTATCTCACCACCTTTCTGTGTCATTTTCACTTTCTCTTTTGTTCCATTTCAAATTTATCTGTAATTTCAAATTTTAATATTCAGAACAATATGCTAGAAATTAGCATGTTCTGTCTGAATTAAATTATTTAGTAAGCACTCCATATTTATTAAATTACTGCAGGCAAAAAGAAATCATAGCATTTTATCCTGTTTCTCCAATCTGTATATAAATGGTAATATGATTTATTCCCAAATGTTTATTTTATGTGTCAGTGACTCTCATCATAGTTTACGTGATTTGTATTTTTCTCTTTATTTAGAAATGTGAGGTTATTCCTTGCTTCTGAAAGTTGGATGGCAGCATTTTTATTTTGCAGAAGAATAGCATCAGTATAGTAAGCATATAATAAAAATTATATTTAGTATCTTCTTCTTAGTCATTAAAATGTTCTCGGTAGAGTCTTTCATTAATGATTGTCATGCATTTCCTCTGAAATTTTACTGCTGTACACTGCATGCCAGCGATTCAAAATACCTGCTTTTCATGATTACACAGTCACAGTTGAGTATTGTAGTTATCTAAGCAAATTCGTTTTTAATGGTAGGTACATCAGTGTTTCATAGCAGATTTTATGACTAACACATCTCTTAGTGTTGTGTAATTCCATATGACTGTTTTTATGGTTGAACAGTGTTCCCTTATATGTATATGCCACATTTCTTTGTGTGTGCTCGTCTCTTGAGCCTTCCCCCATTTGAATTTTCTGAATAGTAGCACAATAAACATGGGTGTGTAAATATCTCTTCCAAATCCTGAGTTGCTTTGTGTACATTTGATAGAGACCCAGAAGTAGGATTGCTGGATCATATAATTCCATGTTTAAGTTTTTGAGGAACATTTATGTTTTTTTTTTTTTTCTTTTCCAAACAGAGTCTCACTCTATCACCTAGGCTGGAGTGCAGTGGCGCCATCTCAGCTCACTGCAACCTCTGCCCCATGAGCTCAAGTGATCCTGCCCCTTCAGCCTGCCGAGTACCTGGAACTACAGGTGCACACCACCACACCCAGCTAACTTCTGTATTTTTAATAGAGACAGGGTTTTGCCATGTTGTCCAGGATGGTCTCGCACTCCTGGGTTTCAGTCATCCACCCGCCTCGGTCTCCCGAAGTGCTGGGATTCCAGGTGTGAACAGCGCGCCCGGCCGATGCCATCTGTCTTTGTGGCTGCATCCTTGGTTTCCTGCCAGAGTTCACGCGGTTTTCAGTGTCTTCACATCCCTGACAGATTTGGATCTTTTTAACAGTGGCCATTCTAATAACTGTGAGGAATCCCTTCATTGCGATTTTGTTTTGCATTTCTCTGCAATGAGTAATTTAGGCGTTCGTTCAAGTGCTTGTTGGCTGTTTCCATATCTTTTCTGGAGAGATTTCAGTCAATCCTTCATCTGTTGTTAAGTTACTTAATTTTTGTTTTTGAGTTGTGAAAGTTTCTTAAATACTCTGAGTATTAAGTCCTATCATATTTCTGATTTGCAGGTATTTTTTCCCCATTTCTTAGGTGGCATTTTCATTTCACTCATTGTTTTCTTTGATTTGCAGAAAGTTTGAAGTTTGATGTAGTTCAGTTTTTCTGTTCTTTTTTTGTGCTTATGCATTTGATCTCCTATATTTTCTTCTAAGAGTTATATTCTATTTTTATGTTGAAGTATTTCATTTAAAATATTTCTGAATATGGTACAAGGAAGAATATTCATTTTTCCATGTAGATATCTAGTTTTTAACATCATTTGTTGAAAGGAATCTTTTCTCCATTGTGTGATCATGGAAACCTTGTGGAAGATGATTTGGTTTTATCCACAAGGGTTTATTTCTGGACTCTGTTCTGTTTCATCATGTAGTTATCTGTCTTTGTGTCAGTACCACATTGTTTTATTTTTATAGTTTTTTATATGTTTTGAAATCAGAAAGTATAATGCCTGTTTGTAAAGAGTTTTGGCTAGTTATTGTTCTTACACTAATTTTAGGATTAAAAGAATAAAAAAATACCATTGGCAGTTTGATAGAGATTGCATTGAATGTGTACGTCAGTGTGGGCAGTATTGGCTTCTTAAAAAACAAAACAAAACACTGAATGATCTGACCATTGAGCAAGAATGTATATGTTCAAGGGTGTTTAATTTTTGGCATTGCCGGTTTCGCTTTTGCTTTTGATTTTGAGTATAGTTACATTTCGGTCAGAAAACATGTTGTGTGACTTCAGTCTTAAGGAGTTTTGTGTTCTAACGGAAGACACTGTGTGCAGTTGAGAACACAGCATATTCCGCTGCTTGTGACTGGAGAGTTCTGTACACGTCTTTTCAGCTGATGTGGTTGGTAGCATCGCCCAAGCTTTCTTACCGTTCTGTGTGATTTTCTATTCTGTGTTGAAAACGGGGTCTTAGAGTCGGTAGTTATTGTGTTACTGTGTATGTCTTGCTTCACTTCTCTCCATATTCGCTTTACGTATCTGGGAGCCCTGATGTCAGATCGAAATGTGGACAGATAAACAGTTGCAGATTCCTGGTTCATGGGCACAGTTTACCGTTAGATGCCGTTAATCTTTGTCTCCTGTGACAGTTTTGACTTCAGATGTATTATTGTGTCTATCTAATAAAATGATAACCACCCCCCCGATTGTGGTTACTAATAGCATGGAATTTTTTTTTAAATTCTTTCAGCCTGTCTTACTATTTAAGGCTAGAGTCTTTTGTAGATAGCATGTTGTTCTTAATCAGTTCAGCTTTTTTTTTTTTTTTTTTTTTTTTTGAGACAGCGTTTCGCTCTTGTTACCCAGGCTGGAGTGCAATGGCGCGATCTCGGCTCACTGCAACCTCCACCTCCTGGGTTCAGGCAATTCTCCTGCCTCAACCTCCTTAGAAGCTGGGATTACAGGCACACGCCACCATGCCCAGCTAATTTTATATATATATATATTTTTTTTTAGTAGAGACGGGGTTTCACGATGTTGACCAGGATGGTCTCAATCTCTTGACCTCGTGATCCACCCGCCTCGGCCTCCCAAAGTGCTGGGATTACAGGCGTGAGCCACCGCGCCCGGCCCATCAGTTCAGCTATTTTATTTCTGTTAATTAAGTAGGTTAATTGATGTTTAAAATAGCATCTGAAGGAAATGAAGTTCCTGTTACCATCTTGACTGTTGTTTTCTGTGTTTCTTGTAGGTACGTTGTCCCTCCCTTCCTCTTTGAGTGTCTTCATCGTTTGTTGCGTTGATTTTTGTTTGGACGTCCTTTCGTTTTGTGCTCGTTTTGTTTTGCAAACCTTGTAAAGGTATTTTCTTTGTGATCACCTTGAAAAATGGGGAGTACATAAAACACCTTAAAGTTATAAATACAGATTTTAATCTCACAACTTCATTGAATACAAAAGCTGTAACTCTTTACACCCTCCAGTGTGCTATTAATGGAACAGATCATTATATATTTTGTGTGTGGTAGCAAAGATATATGCAGATATTTTTTCAGATATAGTAGAATCTCGAGTTTTTACACCGTAATACGAGAGTAAAGTACTATATATCTATTTATGTATCCACCTTTAACAGAGAGGTTTATATTTTCAGATGGTTTTATGATGCTGTCTAGTGTCACTGTTTAACATAATGGAGTCTTTTCAGTAGCTTTTAAATATTACAGAAATGGGGTCTTGGTATGTTGGCCAGGCTAATTCCTAACTCCTGACCCGAAGCAGTCCTCCTGCCTTGGCCCACCCAAGCTGGTATTATGGGCATGAGCCACCATGCCTACCCAACCTTTAGCATTTCTCACAGAACTGTAGAGGAAGCCACAGCCGCGGGTCACCTAGTGGGGTGCAGTTGCTGAGTCTTGGCTAGACAGCAGCGACTAGGGCTCTGGCGCCGGCGAGATGCCTTTGTTCACCGCCAACCCCTTCGAGCAAGACGTGGAAAAGGCCACAAATGAGTACAACACTGCAGAAGATTGGAGTCTTACTATGGATATATGTGACAAAGTTGGAAGTACACCTAATGGAGCGAAAGATTGCCTAAAAGCCATAATGAAAAGGGCAAATCATAAGGTTCCTCATGTTGCTCTGCAGGCACTGACTCTTCTTGGGGCATGTGTGGCACTGTGGAAAGATACTTCATTTAGAGTGTGTTCCCGTGATTTTGCAGCAGAAGTACATGCTGTGATTGAAAATAAGGCACCTCCTGAAGTATGAAAAACTGAAGTCTTTAATGGTGGAGTGGTCAGAAGAATTTCAGAAGGACCCTCAGTTTAGTCTAATATCTGCAACTGTTAAGTCTATGGAAGAGGAAGGAATTACTTTCCCTCCAGCAGGTTCTCAGACGGTCTCAGCTGCTGCCAAGAATGGTACGTCATTGAACAAAAACAAAGAGGATGAAGACATGGCTAAAGCTATTGAATTATCACTGCAAGAGCAGAAACAGCAACACACGGAAAGATAGCCTTATATCCATCTGCAGAAATTCAGTTAAATAATAAGGTTGTACGGAAAGTGAGAGCTTTATATGATTTTGAAGCTGTTGAGGACAATGAACTCACCTTTAAACATAGTGAAATAATTACTGTTTTAGATGACAGTGATGCCAGTTGGTGGAAAGGAGAAAATCACAGAGGACTAGGACTCTTCCCATCCAATTTTATAACAACTAATTTAAACATAGAGTCTGAGGCAGCGGCTGTGGACAAATTGAATGTAATTGATGATGATGTGGAGGAAATTAAGAAATCAGAGCCTGAGCCTGTTTATATAGATGAGGATAAGATGGATAGAGCCCTGCAGGTACTTCAGAGTATAGATCCAACAGATTTGAAACCAGACTCCCAAGACCTTTCGGATTTAGAAGATATCTGCCAGCAGATGGGTCCAATGATAGATGAAAAACTTGAAGAGATTGATAGGAAGCATTCAGAATTGTCTGAATTGAATGTAAAAGTCTTGGAAGCTCTGGAACTGTGTAACAAATTGGTGAATGAAGCACCAGTATACTCAGTCTATTCAAAGCTCCACCCTCCAGCACATTACCCACCTGCATCATCTGTGGTTCCAATGCAGACATATCCAGTTCAATCACATGGTGGAAACTATATGGGTCAGCGCATTCACCAAGTAACGATTGCCCCAAGCTATAGCCTAGGACCAGATCAAATTGGTCCACTAAGATCTCTGCCACCAAATGTGAATTCTTCAGTGACAACACATACTGCTCAAACTTCATGTTTAAGCACTGGACAAGACACTGTTTCCAATCCTACTTATATGAACCAGAAATCTAACCTACAATCAGCTACTGGTACAACTGCTTACACACAGCAAATGGGGATCTCTGTGGATATGTCATCTTATCAGAACACTGCTTCCAATTTGCCTCAACTGGCAGGCTTTCCGGTGACAGGTCCAGCTCATCCAGCTGCACAGCAGCACACAAATTACCATCAGCAGCCCCTCCTTTAGAAACAAAGCAGCCATTTTCTTGAAAGCCTTCCTAAGTGTATTATTCAATCCTTGTGATTCCAACCTGAAAACGTTAAAACTTTTTCCTCTCAACTCAAAAGGACTATGAATGAATAAAGCACAAAAACCTCTCATACTCTATCTACAAGGCCATAAAACGATTTTGGGTTTTTTTTTTTTTTTTTGGTCTTTTTTTTATTTTATTTTTTTGTCCAGTTCATTTGAAGTCAATCTTTTGATTAGAGGCAGCTTAAAGATGCTTTCAGTTAGTTTTGTCTTTCTTTCTGATTTATCTACATAAATCTAGATACCTGTTAGGTAGCCTTATGACACTAAACAGTATGAGATAGGAGTATTAAAATACTATTTTAAAGAAACCACTGTTTTCCCCTAAAATGTCATAAGAGCACTGAAGAACTTGAAATGATTTTTTCAGAGAGTCTCATTCTTTTTTTGTGTGTAAGCATTTAGCTTGCCAGCATATTTCCTTTTGGCTCCTTAAATTGCAGTTGTGTTTGCAGTATCGTCACTTTTGCTCTCACTGATAGGTTGAGTAGTAATTAGCATATAAGCAAGAGCAATTTGGAAGGAACAAAAACGTTTTCTGTGATTAACAGTGAAGACCTTATAAATGCAGATGTATGATAAAGCATCTAGTCAGTCCCCCAGCCAGTCATGCCAACTGTGCAGGAATTTGTCCCACAGAACATTTCCATTCCCTAAGGAAAAACATTTCCTTTTCTACATGTATCTCTGATATTTAGAATTGCCACTAGTAACCTTTTCAAGTGACTTTGGCTATTCTCTAATGAAGATATGGCCCATTTGTTTTTCTCCCTGCAATATGATATGCAGAGATGCTGCATATCCTTTTTATGGGATCATGTGAATTTCAGGCCATGAGACATTCCTGATAATTTGTTGTGAGATATACCAAGAATGGATCTTAAGTGTGTTTTTAGTGATGTGGTGTTTGTTTGTTTGTTTCAAGTGATTCAAGTACTGTTGCTAAGCTGTCAGCATACCAAGCTGTTGAAAAAATCGACCCTTTGTTTCCGAAGTAATTCTGAGCCTGTGGAATAATAGCAGGTGATGACTTCATAGATGACAGATTGATAGGGAGGCTGTTGAAGCAGTTTTTCTGAAGCCTGTATTTTGAGTTCATTTATGGTGCTAATAGGTTCTATATAACTGTGGGAGTTTGGTAGTAAGCCAGTAGGGATTATTTTTCTCCTAAAAATTTGCACACTCTTCATCGTCTACCAATTTTTTACATAATGCAAAATAGAAATTGCAAATACATATGCATATGGAAACATATTCAGACTGGGAAAAACAATGGACATTAGTTTTTTAAAAGTTACTTGCATGGAAGCAAGATTTCTATATTTGTTTTTTTAAAACAGTCTTACTACTAAATCCATTTCAAGATAGTTCTCTGAGAATTTTGTTATTTATCTACAGAGATTTGATTATACATGTGTTCCTTTTTCAAAGAAACTTTATCCTCGAACAGAGTAGTCTATAGGCTACTTGATCTGCATTTAAATGGAAAAATTAGCAGTATTTGAAAGCTCAGTTTGTGTCATTGTCTTTCTTCAGATACAAAAAACTGAACAGAAAGTTTTAACCTTTAATATCTCATGTCCTGTTTTTCATTCAGTATTTACCTATATGTTAATTCAGTTATAAACTTCTGAATGGCACCTTTCTGGAAACAAATTTGTTCTTTACAAAATAATAATTTTAAAAAACCATTTAAAAAATCCAAAGTTGCTCTTGGTAATAGTCAACATTTGCATATATATGGAGTTTCTTACATTTTTTCTCCCAAATTGTATTTAATAAACTTACTTGAATGTTTGTGTAAAAAAAAAAAAAAAAAAAAGAACTGTACTAGTGGCAGTGAGTGCCCTCATCTTTTTATTTATTTTGGAAAGTCTTTATTTTTCCCTTGTTCTTTCGAAGTAAAGTTATTCTAGATCAAGTGTTCTTGGTTAGTAGCATTTTTCTGAAACTTGGAAAGTTAACAGCATGTTTTTCTTCAAATAATGCCTCTTCTGCTTTTCTGCTATATATTTTTTCTACGACTTCTTTCATGAATATATTGGTTTAGGTCATGATATTCAATAAATTCCATATTTTAGCTGTTAAATTTGTTTTACAGTTTTATTTCTCTGTGTTTCATTTTTAAATCTGTGCTACAGTTCTGTTTAATTGGTCTATTTGTATGTCTTTGTACCAGTACCAAACTGTTTTAATTACAGTAGCCTTGTAATGTGTTTTCAAATCAGGCAGTGTGATCCCTCCAGCATTGTTCCTCTTTTTGAAAATTGTTGGGTGCTTTATGGTCCCTTGAGATGTCTTACGATTGTTAGGTTGTTGCTTTTATTTCTGCAAGAATCAGATTAGAAATTTGAAAGAGATTGCATGGAGTTTGTAGATTGCATTGGGTGGTGTGACCATCTTTGCAATATTACGTATTTCAACCCTTGAACAAGAGCACGCTCAAATATGTTGTTTAATTGCCATATATTTGTCAATTTTTTTTGTTTTTCTTTGTTATTTCCAGTTTCTTTTCATTTTGGTTATATATAATAATGCAGAAGACTTCAGTTTTTTGAAATTTGCTCAGACTTATATTGTCCAGGTGGTCTATCCGGATGTTTTCTGAGCTCTTGGGAAGAGTGTGCCTGCTGCTGGTGTTGTGTGGAGTGTTCGCTCTGTGTCTGTGAGGTGTAATTATTTGGTAGTGCTTTCAAGTCCTCCATACAATTATTAAGGCTTGCTTTATTATTCGTTATTGAAAGTGGGTTGTAGAAGTATGCTACTATTGTATTGCTATTTTTTGCTTCGATGCTGTAATTACTTGTTTATAAAGAACTTGTGAAATTGAAGCAAGAAATAGCAATATAATAGGAGGTTACGTCAATACTGAAATATCTATACGAATATACACACATTTGTCATAGGTCCCCAGTTTATTTTCCTTTTTTTCATTGTTTTATGTTCTTGTTTTTTGTGAGTTCTAACTTAAAGTATGTTTTATGAAGTACGACAGTTCTTAAGATGTGTTTTGCATCATGTAATTGTAACCTCTTCTGCTCTCATTTCATTAACATTTGCATGAAATGTGTATTTCCAGCTTGCCACTTTCAGTCTTTCTTTCATTAGATCTCAAGTGAGTCTCTTGTGATTAGCTGCGGTTTGGTCTTGGTTTGGTTTTAAATTCTTTAACATATGCCTTTTGATGAACTGACCCTAAGGAAACAGTTGACTGAAATGAAAGACGCCCTTTAGTCACTGTACCTCTCTCCCTGATTCTTGTAGCTTTTTCCTTCTCTCTTTCGTGTCTTGTACTTTGTATAATAAGCTTTGACTCCTTTTTAATTTTCTTTTGTGTGTAGATGTTTTCTTAGCAGGATATTTTCTTGCAATTATCATGGAAATTATATTAAACATCTTACCATTATAATAAGACATTTTATACTGGTAAATACTTTAGTTGCATGTAAAAATTTTGTTTTGTTTTCATTTTCTGAGACAGAGTCTCTCTCTTTCGCCAGGCTGGAGTGCAGTGGCACAGTCTCAACTCACTGCAACCTCCACCTCCTGGGTTCAAGCGATTCTCCTGCCTCAGCCTCCCGAGTAGCTGGGACTACAGGCGCTACAAAAATTCTTTCTTATTAAATCTGTCCTCAACTTTGTTACTGATAACACTAAATCATTTAATGTTGTGTATCCATTAACAGATATTTATGATTATTTTTCTACTTTCATCTTTCCAATTTTAGGTAATTAAAAGTGATTTCTGCACCATTGTTATAACGTACCACAGAATTTTATTTTCCTGTACATGTGTATTTTTTAATATATTTATGTATCGTGACGTAATTGTATATTATTTCCTAGCATCACCTTGTTTTCAGTGGGAAGGATTCCTTTTTCCATTTCTTGTTTGACATGTGTAGCCCTTGGTTTTCTTAGAAAGTCTTTATTTTTTATTACTTTGTGAGACACTGGTTATATTCTTGCTTGGAAGTTTTCTTTTCAGCAATTAGATGATCTCATCCAGTTCCCTTCTTGCTTCAGCTTGTCCCTTTTTTGAGACAGGGTCTTACTGAGGGAATGTATTATCCCACCGGGTCCATGAGGGGGTGTAATTTTAAGGGGAAGAACTTCCCAGCGCCACGCCCCCCTCCCATCTCTCCATCCGGTAGATTTAATGGGTCCTGCAGGCGGGGAAGAATCAAAATCAGTCACTCCAGCAGAAGTTCTAAGGAACTCCTTTCGTTGGCCTGGGGTCTTAGAGAAGGTGGGGGTTCCTCCCAGGTTAAAAGTCCCCTTCTTCCACACCCCTTCGACTCCATGTTTGGGTCCCCTCCCACGAACAAGCTCGTGGAAGCCGTTTTTCTCTCTCCTGGATTTCCCCTCTGGAATCCCCTTTCACACTTTTCATGGAAGTTTTTCTCTCTCCTCCTTTCTTCCTGTCTTTTCTCTACCTAAGTAAAATCACCTTCCTGCAACACTTCTTGGGTTCAGTATTTACGAGCTTACCGCACACCTGCTGTTGTCCCCTCTCTCATTCCCAAGAGGGCGGAGACCAAGAACCTACAACATTCTCTCAGGGGCGCTGTGCCTCAGCAGCACCCCAGAAACCCGGTTACATTACTCTGTCACTCATGCTGGAGTGCGGTGGTGTGATCATGGCTCACTGCAGCCTCAACTTCCCAGCCTCAGGTAATTCTCCCTCCTCAGCCTCCTGAGTAGCTGCAACTACAAGTACAACACCATGCATGACTAACATTTCTGTATTTTTTGTAGAGATGGAATTTCACCATGCTACCCAGGCTTGTCTCGAACTCCTGGGCTCAAGCGATCTGCCTGCCTCAGCCTCCCAAAGTGCTGGGATTACAGGTGTGAGCCGCCACGCCCAGCCCGGCCTTGTGGATTCTCTGGACACATTCACTGGTAATCTCATGAGAGCATGCTGATAAATGACACACTGCTTTTTCCTTACTGCTTCCAAGATTCCTTTCTCCTCTGTGACTTTTGAAACTGCTTATATTGTGCCTTGTGTCCCTTCTTGTTTGTGCTAGTTGATGTGTTTAGCGTCTTGGTTTTTT